CAACCAATGATTTCTCTTTACTACAAAAAGAATCAGTGGCGCAAGCAGCAGGGCACCTGACTAAATACCTTCTTCTTGGCAGGTCATTCTTTATTCCAAGCATTCACTTTAGTGACGGAGTCACTTTAAAATAAGAACTCTATTGAATAAGGTTGATGGTACATTATAGATGAATTCAGTGTAAGCCAGAAAATCATAGAACTCAATGTTGTGTAAGGTTTAGCGTGCCGTTACCCATTAGAGGAAATGTTTTTTTGCATTCAAGACGTTTTCAAGAAAGGTCTATTATAGTATTATAGCTGTTAATCTATAGCTCCAGAGTCATTTCAAGCTGGCCCTTTTATCCAGGCCCCGGCTATTACTGAAGCAAATACGGTTTCACAGTAGGTGACCACATGAATACAGGAGCATGTTCACAACTATAGACTTATTTCCATCTGTATAATGACTATCCTGGCCTCCTGCCTTGAAGTCAGCAATCACTGCTGGGATTTGGGGCTATATGGGAGTAACAGGCACCTCTCCTCCAAATCCCCTCTGTTTTTTTGCAAGTCCAATTAATGATGTGCACCTGTGCAGGTTTGAAAAGGATATATACATGTATATGTTCAACTTAACATATGTAACTCTATCAATGTATGTTCCAAACAAATCTTTTTGGTGTTTATTATTTGCAATGATATAAGCAGAAGGAAGTATCAATATGTCATTATAAAAATGGATTGTGCTTAGTGTTTCCAAGGAATCAAGGAATGGGGGGAGGGGGGTATTTTTAAATGAAGGAAAATAGATAGGAACAGCTATTACCAAACAGCCCTCTATGTTATATTATGTGTCCATGCACACATAGATTTTTAGAAGCTTTTTAGTAGCAGTAGAGAAAGGAAAAATAATAAACAGGGCAGTGCATCCAGAAGCAGCAGTATTTTGGCAGAAAGAAACCCTTGACACGTGTAAATGCACCTAAACTCCTGTTAACGCTAGGCGCATTTAGTGCTTGAGCGTTAATTCATTTCAATGGCTAGAATAAATTATTATTCTGGCCAATGAAGTTATATAATGCCCAAGCACTTGACGCTTGTAAACGCACCTGAATGCTTGTAGAAGTGTTAAGATGCTTTGACAAGCATCAGTTGTTTATTCTGCCAAAATTCTGTTGCCGTGAGGAGAAGCATTTTTAAAATGTCCTGTGTGCATGAGGCCTTACACTTAAATTCAAACATAAGCTTGCCCTTAACCTCCTCGGCGGTATGATTCTTTCCGATTTTTTGTGCTGAAAGCGGTACCATTTTTTTGCATGGAAATATGTAGTTTTTTATTGTAGGCTGTAATTTTTAGGAATAACTCACTGAAATCTGTACGAACAAGAGTTTAGTAAACATTCCGGATATGATAAAACTTGAAACACGAAATCATAAATTATAATTTAATAAATAATCATAAAAAATAATATAAATAATAATAAATTGAATTCAATAATATAATCAAACCAAAAACACTGAAATTTGAAATACAGAGGCAAATTCGCACATCGCTGAGCAAAGTCGCAAAATCGTTTTCAGTGTCTGATGACGAATTTCCCCACGAATCATTATCACTCAATTCTGCAAGTGGTTCTGATTTACTATCGCTGTTCTCTAAAACCGCTTTTGACGTAAAGGGACGCTTTTTGGACGCCATGGACTTTTCTAAGTTTCCATTCAGAAAGAACAGTCTAAATGCAGGCAGGGCACAGGACAAAGCAGTAGGGACAAAATATGTGTGAAATGCATTGAAACAGCAATGACAGCAAAAATTACAATTTTTAAAAATTTCAAATTTGCCGCCGGTTCCGGCGCCCGTATGTCCCGACGTCACAGGGACCGGAACACGGAAGCCGGATGCCGGCATCGGCCAGAGGAGATGGCCGGGGACGCTGCAGAGGACACATCGCGGGAGCGAAGGACAAGGTAAGTGCTGCAGGGACTCCCTGAGCAACGCCGCATGGTAAGCCCGAGTGTAGCTCGGGGTTACCGCTCTTGGTACTCAAATTTTACCCCGAGCTACACTCGGGAAAACCGCTAAGGAGGTTAAAGTGGTTGTAAAAGCACAAGGTTTTTTACCTGCATGCATAGAAAAAACCTTCTCTGTACAGCATTCCCCCCAGCCCCCCTAATACTCACCTAAGCCCCCTCTCGATCCAGAGATGTGCACTGGAGTTTTGGCTATCCCAAATCTCCCTCTCCTCATTGGCTGAGACAGTCAATCACAGCCAGTGGGCCAATGAGAAGAGAGAGGGGGCAGGGCCAAGCCACGGCTCCGTGTGTGAATGGACACACGGAGCAGTGGGTGCCCCCATACCAAGTTGATTGCTGTGGTGGCACCAGAGAGGAGGGAGGGGCCAGGAGAGCCGATGACCCAGAAGAGGATGTTCTGGGCTGCTCTGTGCAAAACCACTACAGTATGATATGTTTGTTATTTTTAGAAAAACAAAATTAAGCTTTTAGTATCTCATTAACATAATTCCAATGTCAGTTCATCAGGTGGACATGCATCAAGTGCTGTGACAACTGTTTCATATCTTTTTGCTAAACCACTAAGTAACAGTGCTGTGACATGAAAATCTTTTATTTCCTCTCCTATACCTCTCCGGTGTTCAACCATTTCCAGGGTGTTCCTTATGCAATCCTACATATTCTGGTCTTTCACCAGCTTGGCTTGATAGAGCTTTCTAATTAAATACAGTTTGTTACTGAGATTAGCTATTTCGTGCACCTTTTGTAACCCATTCCACATTTCTTTAGCAGTTTCACACTTACATATATGATTTGATCATCTTCTATACTAAGAGAGATTGTGCTCTGAGCTTTATGGTCTTTCTCTATTCTCTCATCTGAAGGGTGTTCTGGCCTGACTTCATTTTTACATTTCCACATACCTTATCCTTTTAGCAGCATTTTCATCCTGGATTTCCAAGACTGGTAGTTTCTGGTTTGTCAGATTTGCAAATGAAAGTTTTGTTGCAGCTGTGTTATTGACCATTTTCTTTTATTCCGTTGCAGTCTTCTTTCTGTTGCTGTTCCTTGCACTTCTCTGCTCTCCTATGACTGGGTGTCTGGGCTCATAACTTCTGTATATAGAAAAGATTCTGTATATAGTCCTAAAGAAAAGTGTACCTGTCCATGTGTGTTTATCTGTTGCTTCTCAAAGCAAACAGGAAACAGGAAATTTTATTATAGAGAAAAGACATAGAGCTTAACCATAGATGCAGATACAAACTTATAAACTGCCATCTACTGGTTGAAGAATATATTATAAATTATAGAAAAAAAAATTTTTTTCTTATCTACAACAAGAGTTTTTTCTGATTATAATAGAAAAAAAGTGCAGCGCTTAAATAAATATACAATATATCTAAAGATAATAATAATAAACAGTGTAGTGACACACTCAATCCCATTAGAAATACTCAAATACAAGGGGATAACACACAAAAAATTGTGCAACACGTGACTTCCCACTAAGGGAATATAACAAGTGCAAGTGATAAATGCTCCAATCGTGATTCACAAAAAATGCCACAGTGACTCTCAATAATTAATATAAACTCAAAATACAGTCCACACACAGTGCATATATATACACTATATACAATCTGATGAAAGTGCTTCCATTCGATGATCATGCAAGTGACTGTGTAAAATTTGTGTTCAATCCTCCAGTGACCTAAGTGGCCCCTCACCTCATAGACTCGACCCTACAGGGTCAGCTCGCTCAAAAGATCACAGCAATCCTGATAAGGGCAGATTCATCACAGGCTCCCCTCAAGGAAAAGAACGCTCCTTATTCCAAGCCTCCATGCAGTATAGTAATATTCTCCCCGGATCATAGATAGACAAAGAAAACTACCATAGTGTAATCCGTTTTATTTAACCATATATAATAACGGTTGCCCACTCACATGTAACTCCTTCTTGTGTACAACTTCATATCACCTCATGTTAGAGGTGTACTCCATGGGTATCCAAAAGGTGTTCCAATATGACGCCGGAAATGACGTCACAGCGCATCCGGAACTACCTCCTCGCGTACCAACGTGTTGCGTCACGTTATCACGTGACTTCCTCAGGGTACCCTTTCATCAGATTGTATATAGTGTATATATATGCACTGTGTGTGGACTGTATTTTGAGTTTATATTAATTTTTGAGAGTCACTGTGGCATTTTTTGTGAATCACGATTGGAGCATTTATCACTTGCACTTGTTATATTCCCTTAGTGGGAAGTCACGTGTTGCACAATTTTTTGTGTGTTATCCCCTTGTATTTGAGTATTTCTAAGGGGATTGAGTGTGTCACTTCACTGTTTTTTAGTATCTTTAGATATATTGTATATTTATTTAAGCGCTGCACTTTTTTGTATTAATTAGTCACTTCACCTAATAGGTAATAAGGTTAGTGTCAGCAGCTTTTTTAGGGTTAGGGCTCTATTTCAAGCGCAGGAGGATTTTTTCTTTATTCAATAGAAAAAAAGTGAATTTTTGATCGCATAGACAAAAAATTAACATATTTTTGTGCTGTAAAACATTACGAAAAGAAAACCATGTTAAAAAAAACTATTATTTTGTTATCTTAAAAAATATTTTTTATCAGAAGCACCATGAGACTGATACACACATGACAAGAGCCAGGTTAAATCATGTATGTAGGACTGTGTGAGTGAAAATGTACAAACTTTCACTTACATGTCGTTTGTACAGTGAGATCCTAGTTTGCTTTGTGCATTGAACGTCCAAATAATGCTGCTTTTATGAACTGCAAAATGAGTATACCAAGCAATTAAACATAACAAAAACAGGGGAACCACCACCAATTTCACAATATTAATGGGGAGAAGCTGCCTTAAGAGTGTAATAATGCTGTAAATATTGATCTAAGAAAAGGCGCTATTCATATCAATTGTTACAATAAATGCTTCTCACATAAATAATTATAGTACACACCAGGGGTGGACTGACAACTCCTGGGGCCCCCGGGCAATAGGGGATCATGGGGCCCGTGTGTCCTTGCCCAAACTCAAAAAAGCCTATGAAAAAGGTACCAGGGGCATCTCATGGGGCCCCCTACTGACCCCGGGCCCTCAGGCAGTGCCCGAGTTTCCAAATGGTCAGTCCGCCCCTGGTACACACTAATCAACATCAAAAAGTGTTAAAATAAATATGAAAGTGTTCATAACGAAGAAAGTCCCTATAGTAGTTCCACAAAGTCACTATCCACATTATGTGCTCAAAAAACGAAGATCGAGTGATCCAGTAATACAAGTGTATTTACATCGTGCAGTGCGAGTAATAACTCAACAGACAAGGCAAACCGTATTCCATTATATCAAAGCGACCAGTATCTTCAGATTCTTCAACATGGCATATTCTTGCAAGCAGGGTAAGGGCTCATGTACACTGCAGCTGCTTAACTGACGTTCAGGAGGTGTTCAGCGTTTTTTTTCAGCAGCCCCTGAACTCTCCCTAATCTTTTCCTATGTGTCCATGTACACATAGTCGTTTACAGTAATTTTTTTGAACGCACCAAACTTGTGTTCAGGAGCATATTTTACCGGCGTTTCAAACGCCAAATGCTTGTAAAACACGTGTAAACGCGGCTAACCGTGTTTATAAGCGTTTGCGTTTAGAAGAATTTTTTAACTGTTCCATGTCCAGATGCTGTCCAGAGCCTTTTTTCATCACCAGAAATGCATGCAAAGCATTTTCCATGTATTCAAATGGGCCCGGTACACCAGCGCAGTCAGTTCCAAGTTTCAAGTGAAGGAAAAAATGGTAGAACGTGCCACATTATACTCATGATGGGATCCATAGTGAATACAACCAGAAAAGACAGGTAATTTCAACACATACTGCTATCTCTGCTTCTGCTCTCTCTATTTCTCTCAAAATGTCTGAAATAGTTAATTATTTACTATTTTTCAGTGCATTCTGGGCATTTGGGAAGGTCTCCTGAGGTTATCTTTTAAAAACGCTTCTAAACGCAAACGCACATAAACGCGGTATGCAAACGTGGCTAAACTGACTTTTTTTAACCTACATTTTCCAGCAGTCAGTTTCCATTGTTCAGAAGAGTTTTCCAAACGCCCCGTGTACCTGAACCCTAAAACAGCACAAACACTCAAAGAAAGAGGTTTCTATAGTACTGGGCCCAGCCATTTGTCGCCACTTCCGGTCCCTTCCTTCCGTCACTTCCAGTGGTTGGATCCGGTCTGTGGAACTCATGCCGGCTCAGACATTGCAAGCGGCGGCACATAGTATTTGATTCTTCCTATGCCTATTGAAAGTGCCTTCAGCACTGAAACATGTGAGTGCAATATATTCTTTATACCTTTCTGGAATTTAAATAAACTTGCTGCACTATAGAAACCTCTCTTTCTTTGAGTGTTTGTGCTGTTTTGGACTTTTCATATTTAATTTGACACTTTGTTGATGTTGATTAGTATGTACTATATTTATTTATGTGAGAAGCATTTATTGTAACAATTGATATGAGTAGCACCTTTCCTTAGATCACTATATACAAAACATTTGTTAAAAAGACGCTGAAATTTAACAAAAAGTGTCCAAAGCAATGAAAGGGGGAGTTCACAAAAGTTAAAAAAAACTTTAAAAGATACTTAGGTTTATACACTTTGATGTTGTATGAAGAAAGTCATTGTATGTACATTATTGCAATCTATTTACATTGTAATCTACATTTCAAGCACCAAGGTATGGAATCTTATACAGGGAATGGTGCTTGAACTTTGCACATGCGCACAGAGATTTGTGCATTGTCAGTGTTATATCCTCATGAGGATGGTTCACTGAGGCTTTCTGAAAATTAAAGTGTCTTAAGGAAAAAATGCAAAGTAAAAAAAAAAATATATATATATATATACAGTTTACTTTAAAGTTCTGCAATACATGCACATTTCCCCATGTAGCACAGACCTCAGACGGGGCTTGTTTGGTCCCTGGTCCTACTCCCTGTAGGGCACATGTCAACACAGTAGTTCACAGTTAATCAGAAACAACAAGTCTTTTTGCAGTTTATTTGCCAGTTCAACTTGGATAGGGTGAGGGTGAGTCTTGGGATTCTACAAAACTAGCAGAAATAGAATGGAGGACACTAGTGACTGATTTGCTTCTTCAGCATGTAACCACCCTAAGTTGAGGCTCTGTTCATGCTGTGTGTTCTGGTTGCAGGTGATCGCGCTGCTCTTAGAAGACGCATGGGGCTGCATTCATTCTGAATAGCACCCCCGTGCACCTTAGCCTGCAGTGTGATTGCGGTTGCGGGAACCACTCGGAAACCGCATGGTCAAAAATACCATGTAGTTTCTCTGTGGCTCCATTTTCCAAAAAGTGTATACACCTTTTTTTGTGTGTGCGGAAATGGGGGCACAGCAACTTATTGAATGGGCTACCGTGCCTGAGCAAACGCGGACCGCACGGCGGTCAGCAATAATGTGGACCAAGGCTTAAATTAACTAACAATGTAGGAATCCCTCAACAGGCGTATAACCCTGAGACAAGAAACTGTAGTGAGCTCTCCAAAAGGTGGCAAGGACAGTCTCTAGGATCCTCAAGGCTAGTACTCACTGGTCCCTGAGTACTGTAATGCCTCTGGTAGCACCAGTCAGTCTCTGTACTTGATGCCTCTGGCCTGGATCCTCTGAAATGCTTTCTGAACTGCTTCAGGGTACTCTGGACAGAAGCCCCCAAGCTCTAGCTGGGGCTGGGACCTCAAAAGGATTTCTTCTATTCTGAAGCTGGCAGCCCAGTGGTGCGATGGCTGGGTCTTACTCACCCAGGAACAATAGACTGCTGCTCTAGGCCCCAGCCTATTTATACCTTTATCAGCCCTCTGCTGGCCACCCTCCTGACCAGGGATTGGCTGTGTCTATATAGTGATTCAGGCCAGGGTCTGCCTCTCCCACCCACTGTATCCCAGAAATCAGTGGGAAGCAGGGGAAGGTAGTTGAGCCTGCACAAGCAGAACCCAGAGCAGCCAAAAGCAATTGAACACTGTTCCCCTGCTACAGTGCAGACAAAAACTAAACTTATCTGAACTCTAGCAGCCTAACTAGGAGGGTGCTACACCCATGTGTGGGTACTCCCATGTTGAAAACACACAGCATTTTTCTGAACCAAGTGGTCTCAGCCCTACACAGTTTTCTTTTGCTCAATCACTTGAGCTACAGAAGATTTTACCCACTTCATGACCAGGCCATTTTTTGCTATTCTGCACTGCGTTACTTTAACTGGCAATTGCGCAGTACCCAAACAAAATCTATATCATTTTTTTTTTTCACACAAATAGAGCTTTTTTTTGTGGTATTTGATCACCACTGGGTTTATTATTTTTTGAGCTAAAAATGAAAAAGGAAACACTATATTTGTTTACTTTCTGCTATAAAACATATCCCCAAAAAATAATAATAAAAAATCAAATTACTTCATAAATTTTAAATCTATTCTGCTACGTTTTTGATTTTAAAAGTCCCAATAAGTGTACTTTGATTGGTTTGTGGGAAAGTTATAGTGCCTACAAACTATTTTTTTTTAAATACTATTTTTTTTTAACTACTAATGGCAGCGATCAGTGACTGCAAAACTGCGGCGGGCAATCTGACACTAACTGATGCTGGGGGAACTAACTGACATCACCAGTGACACTAATACAGTGATCAGTTATAACACTACACACTGTCACTGTACTAATGACACTGGCTGGGAATGGGTTAACATCTAGGGCATTCAAGGGGTTAAATATGTGCCTAACAATGTGTAATGTGTGTACAGTGTGCTGCTTTTTCTAGCTGATCCCTTGCTTTGTAGGGGATGAGAAACTGAGATTGCTCCCTTGCTTCAGGGCTCCGTGTAGTTTTTACCAACATTAGTGCTCTGGGCTGTGATCAGCAGGTCCCAGCCGTGAATCATTCACAGGGGCTTGCTGACAGGTGATCACAGCGGGTGCCGAGCGGGGGGCATGAGCGTGTGCGTACTAAACCCGGTAGTAGGCGGTGACATATCAGTATGTCACTTTGCCTACAACCGCAGCCCGCACTGTACTGCAGGTGAGTGGCGGAGGTAGGCAAAGTGACGTACTGGTATGTCGCTGCCTACTACCAGGTTTATTGCAGACAAGTGGTTAACTACTGAATCCTTCTCACTGTCCTCATTTCCACAACATAGGAAATGCTTGTCCTGTAGTCCAAGATAAGAAGGAGGAAAGCTAAATATTCTTCTTGAGATAACATAGGAAGTGTGCACAGAACACGGGGCAGTTCTGCATTTCTAGCAGGAAAAAACGTGTATTTTTTTGTTGAACAGTATAATGAACAATATTGTCCAGAGAGATGAAAACTATTCTATTTAGAAATTATACATCTTAGCTGGTGAATGTTCAGACTCATACAGTTCATAGCAAACCACCCTTATTAGTGTAGTGCTACCCTTGTGAGAGATGTTGTGTTTATAGGTATTTATGTATTTTTATTATTTATTACAGAAACCTATATAGTGCTGTCAACCTACGCAGCGCTTTACATATATATTGTACATTCACATCAGTCCCTAACCCTCAAGGAGCGTACAATCTAAGATCCCTAACTTACATTCATACACACACATACAGGTGAAACTCAAAAAATTAGAATGACGTGCAAAAGTTCATTTATTTCAGTAATGCAATTTAAAAGGTGAAACTAATATATGAGATAGACTCATTACATGCAAAGCAAGATAGTTCAAGCCGTGATTTGTCATAATTGTGATGATTATGGCTTACAGCTCATGAAAACCCCAAATCCACAATCTCAGAAAATGAGAATATTGTGAAAAGGTGCAATATTCTCGGCTCAAAGTGTCCCACTCTAATCAGCTAATTAAGCCATAACACCTGCAAAGGGTTCCTGAGCCTTTAAATGGTCTCTCAGTCTGGTTCAGTAAGAATCACAATCATGGGAAAGACTGCTGACCTGACAGTTGTGCAGAAAACCATCATTGACACCCTCCATAAGGAGGGAAAGCCTCAAAAGGTAATTGCAAAAGAAGTTGGATGTTCACAAAGTGCTGTATCAAAGCACATTAATAGAAAGTTATGTGGAATGGAAAAGTGTAGAAGAAAAAGGTGCATAAGCAGCAGGGATGACCGCAGCCTGGAGAGGATTGTCAGGAAAAGGCCATTCAAAAGTGTTGGGGACTTTCACAAGGAGTGGACTGAGGCTGGAGTCAGTGCATCAAGAGCCACCACACACAGACAGATCCTGGACATGGGCTTCAAATGTCATATTCCACTTGTCAAGCCACTCCTG